TTACTATATAATAAACCAGTAAACATAAGTAAGTGTCTCCCTGAGTTCTGTGAGCTATTCTAGCAAATGATCAAACTCGAGGAGGGGGTCACAGGAAGCTCTGATACATAGCCGGTTGGTCAGAAGTACAGGTGATGACCTGGGCCTACCAGTTGGCATCTGAAGTGGGAGGGGCAGTCTTGTGAGACTGAGCCCTTAACCTGTAGGGTCTGAGCTAACTCCAGTTAGTGTCAGGATTGAATTGAATTGTAGGACCCCCAGCTGGTGTTGTAGAGAAGTGCTTGGTATGGGGAGAAAACCCACACATCTGGTGTCAGAAGTGTTGGGAGTGTGGCAGTAGTGTGAGAGTAAAGGAGAAACAGGAATGTTTTTCCCAGACACCTGGGATCCCATTCCTGCAGATATTCCTGGCTCATACACCCCTCCCCCGGTCAAGCCTGGACCAGAGGAGCAGAAAGCCTCCAGGTCACCATCTCCCAGGGCACTCTGGCTCAGAGGGCCATCATGAGGCTTCCTTGAACCTTCCCTGCAGGACTCAGAGCAGTGAGTCACCTGGTGGATGCACACTGGGACCCTGGAGAAGGGCTTTCCAAACTGTAGGTTTGAACAGGTCATGAGTTTGAACTCATGAACAGGTCAACAGAACATTGTGTGGATCCTGAACAGAATTTGATGATTTTAACGAATTAGAATGAAATAACAATAGAAAATATCAGAGTGTATCACATGTATAAAGGGTCAGTACTTTTTTGTGAAGCATTTGTTTTAGGGTCACTTGCAAAATGTGTTCTTTACCGTGGGTCTTGGTGAATAAAGCTCAGAACTCTTCTTGTGATGGATGTACTGTTTTCTTTCACATGTCCCTGTATTTTCCCAACTCTCTACTAGGAATAGGGATTAGCTTTAGAACCAGTTTTAAAAATTCTTGAGAGAGAAACAAAACACAGACTGGAAGGTAAAAGAAAGAAGTCGTTTTGGGGCCTCGTCAGAAGAGCACTGCGTCCACACTGGGCCCCAGGCTTGGTGGGGGAGGAGGCTGATTCGCGGTGTCTTTGGAGCCATGTACAGGCTGACTGCTGGGGTCGGGCAAAACCATAGTCTCCTTGCATCTCAAAATTGGGATCTGTCACATGCAGGAGGAGGAGGAGAAGGAGGAAGGAAGCTCCATCTACCCAAGAAACCTAAGGAAAAATGTTCTCCGTCATGACTGGAGTGTTTTCAAGCAGCACTTCCCTGTGCCTGTCTCCTGTGCTGGGAAATCCCATCTTCCCAGCTGGATCCCATCTTCCCTGGGAGAAAGAGAAATCAAATCCTTCTGTATCTCTTTTGGGTATCCTCTTCCCTATTTGCGTGGACAATAAGGTACACAATGTCTATTAGCAGAATACTACATTTGAGTAATGCAGAGCTATATTGGGGTAAAATAGTATTTGTTTCCTCTGAAGCACAGGTACAGTGGTGTCCTCATTGACCTGGGCAACACTCATCTCTCCCTGCAGTGCCAGGCAGGGCGTACTCACAGTTCTGGGGGAACCTTGCCCCTGGACCAGCTGACCCCTCCTTCCTGGTGTCCTCTCCCTCTGGTGGCTGTGATAGCCCAGACTTGGCCCTGGGTCTCCTTTGCCTCTCTGCCGGCCCCTCTTCCATCCACCCTGTGTATCTCTGTCTTGCCCTGCCCTCTCTACCACCGGGACCCTGCCTCTCCCTCCCTGTACGCTCCCTCCCTGGGGACTCTCTGCTTGGAAAAGTGACCCCACATCCTCTACTCTGAGATTTGGGACAGAATCTGGAGCTCATTCAAGTCACCCCCCCTACACACCTGTCCTCCTTAATGTCTCTGAAGTCACAGTGAATTCTAAACCCAGCCCTTCCTGCACATGCCAGCTGTAGGAACTCTGGCAAGAAGCCTGACATCTGTGTCTCCATCTCTCATCTATAAGCTCTCTCTCTATATATATAATATCTATAATATCATAATGATGATAGTGTCTACCTTCAGAGGTTGGTTGTGAGGATAAATGAGACAATCCATACGAGATGCTTAGCATCATCCCAGGCACTTTGCAAACACAAGATGAATATCAACTGTACTTTCTGTGGTTATTATGGAAGGTGGGCTGAGAGGGGGAGATCCCAGCAAACCAGACCTCCCCATTCCTGCAGATGTTCCTGGCCTGGGATGCAGACTCCTGGGCCTGGGACCTGTCCCACACAGAGGTGTGACCTCGAGTGACAAGACATTATTATTCAGAGGAGCAGGCGAGGACTCAGGTAAACTGGGATGCCCTTGCAATGTAGCCCCCAGGAGGAGCTGGCTCTGCAGGGAGGGTCACCCCTGTGAGGAAGGCTGTGCTTTGGGGAACATGCTCGTCAGTGAGGGCTTACGTGGGTGTCCCCATCTGTCCACACCCCCAGCCATGCCTCCCTTCCCCACTTGTCTGTCACGGCCTGCACCAACCCCCAGGTCTAGAATGGCCACAGAGTGGCAATTCTCAGAGGCTCTTCTCAGTCTCCCAGAACAAGGTCCTCCTGGGTGGGGTCACCCATCCATGAGGCCTTTAGTTGACCCAGACCCAAGTCCAGTCCCAGGGCTGCTGTGAGGACAGTGATCCTGCCACCCTGTAGCTGTCATAGTGTGTGCATGGGAGAGGGTAGACCCAATTCTGGCCCAGCAACTGTGGCTCCAGCCCGGAGTCACTGTGATCAGTCAGAGCACAAGGAGAGGCTTGATTCCTGCCCTTCTCCTCCAGGAGCCAATCATCTGCTGGTTTACTGTTCCTCTTTGCCTTTGATCCAAATCTACTGGGAGGAGGGGACAGGTCAAGAGGTGGGATGAAGGTAGAGGTAGGGGAGATGGAGGCCTCAGTAGGGGAGTGGCGACCTTCCAAGGCTGGATGGGAGCCAGAAGCCTGAGGTGATGGGCAGTGGATGGTCAAAACATTTCTGAGGTGATGGGCAGTGGATGGTCCTGCCTCCATCAGGGAGGGACTTGATGTCCCATGCAAGTCACCCTGGTGACCTCCATTGGCGGCCTTAACGTCCCCCAACACATACAATAGTTTGTTCTAAAACAGACTCCCCTCTTCCCTTCCCCAGAGCTGACTGTTCCATCTCTGTAGCCTGCAATGGTAGTCTGGGGGAGAACTGTCCCATTGTTGACTCTTCATCCCCACCCCAGCCCCCAAGCCCTTGGTTAAAAGACCCTTGATGGGCAGTTTCATGCCTTTGTCCAGTGGACTTTTCCATCTGTTGCTCCCCTGCATCATGACTAAGTGGACTCTTCCATTTCTGTCCACCACGTGTCCCACAGTGGAGTGCTCTTTCCCTATTCCTTCATGTTTCCCAGTTGATGGTGTGTTCTCTGTCTCCTCCCATACACTCTTAAATGGACCATTCCAGCCCTTGACTCTGAAGATCTTACAGAGAGCTAAAAATAAGGCGTCCAACCACCAGCTGCAGAATCCTGCCCCAGGATTGGGCTGTACAGCATCTATCAAATTAAATACTGGAAACATTCCCCACTAGAATGTCAGCTCCACATGGGCAGGGACATTTGTCTGTCTTGTTCCCCGATGTCTCTTCAGCACCTAGAACAGTGCTTGGTAACAGTATGCACTCATTAGGCGCTTGCTGAATGCACGAACCCTCTGACACAGCAATTCCACTTCTAAGAATGTGTGCTAAAGAAACACTCACACAGGGCCGGCCCCGTGGCTTAGCGGTTAAGTGCGCGTGCTCTGCTGCTGGCGGCCCGGGTTCGGATCCCGGGCGCACACCGACGCACCGCTTCTCCGGCCACGATGAGCCCGCGTCCCACATACAGCAACTGGAAGGCTGTGCAACTATGACATACAACTATCTACTGGGGCTTTGGAGGAAAAAAAATAAAAATAAATAAAAAAATTAAAAAAAAAAAAAAAGAAACACTCACACAGGCGCACAGGGCTGTGTGTGCAAGAACGAGAGGAGCAAACAACGGGGAAAACTTTGTAAAGGTTTATTGTCAGTGACTAAGGCAGGGTGAATGAATAATGGGGGTTTGCAGCATGGAGCATCCACTGAACAGGAAACAGAATGAGACGGACTTGTCCAGGACACGCTGGTAGTGGGGAAAAGCAGGGAGGAGATGCTCATCGTGGTACCGTGTGTGTGTGTGTGTGTAAATGCAGAGAGAAACATCTGGAATCAAACGCCCAGAACTGCCCTCAGTAGTCCCCTCCCTGGGGAAGGGGAGGGTAGTGCTGTTCTATGCAGAGAATACTTAACAATACTTGTTTTCTAAGGTAGGTGCATGGATACAAAGACAGAAATACGCATTAGGTATATGTCTTGCTCATCAACAACACCTAATATCTAACAGAATGTTTGGCACATGGTAAGGAAAATCATGCTTAACTTTTCACTGTGGTGAATACTTTCTTTCATTTGCTGTACACCTGGTGGCAAGGAGTTCACAGCCATGCCGGTGTTCATGAAAGGCCACCAGGTTTTGCTTCTTACCACAGGCACTTGTCACATCCTGGAGGCTGAGGCAAGGAGAAAGAAGAGAAAATAAGTGGCAGTGAGCTCCCATTGCCTGATAAATCCATACCCCACTCCTCATCCTGACCTGCAGGACCCCAAGCACTCTGATTCCGCCCAACTTCACGATCTGTACGCATCTCCCACTGCTCCTCAAAGCGAACCTTCTGCTCATGCCACAGTGGTTCCCTCACCTGTTCTATGAGTTCCTAGGCTAGAGGATAGTGTGGCCTACACATTGGGAGCTGACCTGGGGTTTGGGAGCCCACAGCATCCTGGGAGGGGAAGATCCCTGAATATACAGAGCAGGGAGTAGAAACAGCATTGGAAACCTCAACATTTAGCCTCAATGCTGCACCCCAAGGGACTAGGAGAAAGGAATGATTTGGGGAACAAGTGACAAGATGCGATACCAGTACCATAATGGAACAGTGCATTTTCCAGGGGTGTGAGGATGGATTGAAGGGTCACTTACAGAGTCAGTCATCTTCCTCGGGATCACTGATCTCTTCATATGCTACTGGGGTCTTTCTCGCAACCTGTGGGCCCAGACATTAGTCTTCCCTTTCCTGGGTCCTGTGGTGGAGAAGAGTTGGTAACTGGGCGTTGGGTGGGTTGGGGAGTGTTAGGCTCTGTTTTGTCAGATAAGGAGATGCCTCCTCCCTCCCAAGTGCCGACGGGCCTTCTACAGTCTGTTCCACATCTTCTGACTCAAGGAGGCTGAGATGTTAGACCCATACCAATACACATGAAATGTCAGTTGGTGTTTTAGCTTCTGGCTCCTCCCATTGTCAGGTTTAGATCCCCAACCTCTTTACTTATCAGAACGTTCATTCAGACCTTCTTTCATTCAGCATATATCTGTTAAGGGCATATTGTGTGTCAGCCATTGAGATGAAGGCTGGGGATACAACTCTGAGTAAGATATGTTCCCAGGTTATCACAGGTGGAATTACTCGAGCACCTTTCATGTTGTCAGGTCCTCTAGATTTAATTCAATGCCTTTGAACAATCTGTGAACTATGATTCTTTATTTCTGTTTCATGGACTAGGAATCTAGAGTTCAGAGAATTGAGAAGACTTGCCCACAGTTACATGGCTTTCATATCGATGACAACTCAAATCTGTGACTCTGGAAGTCATGTTCTAACATCTCAGCTGGAGGTGGGTGAGCTCCTCAGGCAAGCCTGGACCCAGGCCTATCCAGGATCCATCTCCCACGCCTAGATCCCACACTTGAACATAGCCAGGGAAGCCAGAGGAGTCGTTCCCAAATAGTTTTCTCTTACCTGGTGTCTTCTCACTCTGTTGACCAAAGGTACTCGCTTGTCCCAGGGGGCACAGCTGTTCGTGAGCCTGCTCTGAGCCAGGCGTTACTGGCACTGGCTTCGAATCATTATTTTCCTTTGCTGGCTTCTTGCGCATCACCTTTTTAATGTGAAGGTCATATATAAACAGTATCAATATCATTTCACTAGTGCTTTAAAGCTTACAGAGTGTCTTCAGATACAGTACCTTAATTAACGTCCTCAACAACTCTGGGTGCTCATTACATTACTCATACCTAAATTGTGAGGAACCTGGGAGGTTAGAAGGAAAAAGAGTGGCCTAAATGAAGGGTGTTTCCAGGACTAGAACGCTTGTCTTCACGCTCTGTCCAGACTGACACTCTTGCAAACAGCAAAAGCCTCCACGTAAGCGGGAGTGTAGTATACAGAAGATTTGGGGAAGAACAGCATTCTAAGAATCCACGAGGTCTGTGAAGGAAAGGAGGGGCTTCTATCAAATATAAGGGATCACGTATAAGCTAGTAGACAGCTGCTGAGAGAGTAGATGTAAAAATATACAGAGGGGACAAAACACTGCTGGAAAATGGTGTGGGGGAGATGAATAGCGGGAAGGCAGAGGAAAGGAATGGTTCCCAGAAATGACTGTAGACAGCAAAGCAAGCAGTGCCAGATGTGCCAGACCGTCCTGCCCTGGCCAGAATGTTTAATGTGGAAACAGGCGAGGTGGTTCCTGTGCCAATTCTGTTTGCGCCAGAGGGTGTCATTGACCACCAATCTTAAGCTACCTTTCATTCAGTTCCCTCATTTATGAAACAGCGAACAATAAATGGAAAACAAGCAAAGGGAAAGTACTTTCTGAGCTTGTAAACACTGTTTAAATGTGGTAACAATAAAAACGAATACTTTCTCTCATGATCCTTCTTTGAATTCTCTCCTCAACTGTCTCCACTCTGGCAATCCAATTCCCAGACCCCTTTAACCCTCTAAACGAGAGTTTAATCTGCAATTGTGGAATCACTTATTCAATAAACATGCAGGCACCTCTGAGGGTCCCCCTCGGCTGGGACTGAGGTTTCAGAGATGTCTCAGGTGCAGACCAGGCCCCGAAGGAGCTCACAGTAGGGAGGGGCCCACAGTTCAAGAGATTCCTAAACCACGTGAGAGTGGCCCTGCGACAGAGCAGAGAGGAAGTGGTATTTCCTGTTGCGATATTGGGTGTCTAAATGGAAGCAGCAGCAGCATGTGTGAGGTAAAGCCCTAGGGGGAATGCCTGAACTTCATAAACGTAGGAAAAAGTTCATGAGCTTGGAAATGGTTTGGGGTTTTGGATTAGACTACTACCACTGCCACTGTGGACTCAGGCAAATTATTTAACATCGTTGTACCACGATATCCTCATATTTACTATTATTATTTATATTATATAATAATATCCTCATTGTTATTTCTGGATAATGATAGTAACAACGTCATAGGGTTTGCTTAAGGATTAAATACATTAATCCATGTGAATTGCTTAAAATATCTGGCATCACTATGTAAACAAAAGAAGTATCAGCTACCACAATTATTATTAATTATTATAAAGCTTGCGATGATCCATCAGGCATCGTGATAAAGAGATCAGGACAGGGAGGCAGTGAGGGCCAGGCCATTTTCTATATTCGCCCCCTCTTCCCAATATTCACATCCATGGAGGGAGCAAGGGTCTCCGGTCTTTTAGAATTGGGAGATACTCACCTTCCGGTGTTTTCTCTGTTGCACATTGGAAGCCTTCTGAGGAGGTTCGTCTAAAAGAAGGTGACAAATCAAAATTTTTCTTTGTTGGTAAATATTCCCAAACTCCAGAGAGACTCCTGCAGTAGCAGGGAATTCTGCAGCAGAGGGTTATGAGTCCACTCACTGTCAAGGAGGTATTTTGAGATCGGCTTCTGAATTATCTTTACTAATGGCTTATGCATTTATTTGCAGCATCAATTCATAATTTTCCTTCTGATGGTTTACAAAATGTGAATTAAACCCCATCACCACCTCATCCTATTCCATTACATATTACTTACTTTTTTCCGCAAAGAGTTCAATTGATCGGTTGATAATTTGAACTGTATTCACTTAAAGATGTGTGGCAACTAAAAATCACTGTACACTTAAAATTGGTGAATTTTTTAGTAGGTCAATTATACCTCAACGAAGCTGTTAAGTGTGTGATGAACCGTGGATGATCTAGTCCAGCGGTTCTAGAATGTTTCCAGAATAAAGACATTCCTTTAATGTCAAAAACTTTGTAGACACTCAAGCACTGGATTTTCAGTTCTCTCACAGTTTGGGAACTTGTGGAATCTGGCTCATGTAGCTGGAGAGTCATAGGTCTACTTGAGACAGTTTGAACATTCTGACCCTGTCTTTTTACAACTGTGCTGTCAGAGCAGAAAAGCAGGTGAACCCATCGCGTCCTCTTTATAGTGAGTACACACACTGCTCAAATGCACAAAGATTTCTAGAATCTGTTGTTTTTTTCACCCTATGTTGCCTCTGCCCACTGACAAGTGGGAAAGCTCAGTGTGTGGGTGGGTGGGGACTGCTCTCTCAAGCCCTCTCCCAAGCTTAACACATAGAATCAGATTCGATTAGGAGAGAGAAGACAATTCGGTTTTGGTAAAACACCAGGAAAGAGCTGTATGTCACTACATAATGCGCTAATCACTTTCTCCCTTAAGATATTTATCTAATACCCATGTACTATTATGAAACTGATTCTGGAAGTTTTTGGTGGATTTAGGCTTTAATCACATTTTTCTGAGTTGTCCTGTGATTCATTAACGGTGTTTAGCAAGAACAATAACTCCTTTAAAAAAAGAAATGTTTCAAATATACAGAAAATTGTGGAGAATAATATTGGAAACACGTGCACATCTACCACTGAGTCTAGTTGGAGCTCAACATTATCCCACAACTGTTTCAGATCGCTCTGAGATCTTTATTCAAAATATAAGAAAACTCCATAACCATAAAACTCCTAGAAGAAAATATAGGCAGTATACTACTTGACATTGGTCTTAGCAGCATCTTTTCGAATACCATGTCTACTTAGGCAAGGGAAACAAAAGAAAAAAATTAACAAATGGGACTACATCAGACTAAAAAGCTTCTGCAAGGCAAAGGAAACCATGAACAAAATGAAAAGACAACCCACCAACTGGGAGAAAATATTTGCAAATCATATATCTGACAAGGGGTTAATTTCCAAAATATATAAAGAACTCATACAACTCAACAACAAAAAAACAAACAACCAATCAAAAAATGGGCCGAGGATCTGAACAGACATTTTTCCAAAGAATATATACAGATGGCCAAAAGACACATGAAAAGATGTTCAACATCTAATCATCAGGAAATGTAAATCAGAACTACAATGAGATATCACCTTACACCAGTCAGAATGGCTATAACTACCAAGACAAAAAACAACAAATGCTGGAGAGGACGTGGAGAAAAGGGAACCCTCATGCACTGCTGGTGGGAATGCAAACTGGTGCAGCCTCTATGGAAAACAGTATGGAGATTTCTCAAAATATTAAAAATAGAAATACCATGCAATCCAGCTATCCCACTTCTGGGTATTTATCCAAAGAACTTGAAATCAATGATCCAAAGAGATTTATGCGTCCCTATGTTCATTGCAGCACTATTCACAATAGCCGAGACGTGGAAGCAACCCAAGTGCCCTTCTACGGATGAATGGATAAAGAAGATGTGGTATATATACCATGGAATACTACTCCGCCATAAAAAAAGACAAAATCGTCCCATTTGCAACAACATGGGTGGTCCTTGAGGGTATGATGTTAAGTGAAATAAGCCCGACAGAGCAAGACAAATACCGCATGATTTCACTCATATGTGGAAGATAAACAAATACAAGGATAAAGGGAACAGTTTAGTGGTTACCAGTGGGGAAAGGGTCTGGGGGTGGGCAAAAGGGGTAAAGGGGCACATATATACGGTGATGGACAAAAATTAGACTACTGGTGGTGAGCACGATACAGTCTATTCAGAAATTGATAAATAATAATATACACCCGAAATTACACAATGTTATAAATCATTATGATCTCAATAAAATAATTGAAGAAAAAAGAAAACACTATAAACGAGTCGCAGCTGAAGGCATCTATGCAGCCTTCACTGATCCCTGCCCTCCCTCCTTCTCCACTTCTGAATTTGATGGGTTTTATTCTCATTCAGGTCAGGTTCTTATACATTTACTATTTACTTAGTACCCATAAAATATATATTCTTGTTTTGCATGTTTGAGGATTTTATATGAATGGCCTCTGACTGTACTTAACCTTCTGCATCCAACTTTTTCACTCAGCCATGATGCTTTTGAGGGAACAAGCTCCTGAGAATCCCTCCCAAGCAGCTGGACCCCAAAGCAGTCGGGCTTCAGGAGACTCTTTACAGGCCCTTCCTATCACTCACCCTGATTCCTGGGGTTCCGACCTTCACCAGAATTATGCCCACGGGATTTTGTGGTCCGTTTTTTAGGATACATGAAAGCTGGGAGTTTGGCCCTGAGACCTAGAAAGAAGCAAAATATTTGTTTCTTAAGAGACAACTTGAAAGGAGGGTGGGATGCTGAGAGGCTGAGAGGCAGCACGGACAGTGAAGCTCATCAGCTGGGGAGAACCAAACAAGGGCCAGTGGGAGAGAAACAGGCAGGATCCAGGTCTGAGCATCTCTGTGGCCACTCCTGGCCTTCGGCCCTGCACAGGATATAAAAGAGCAGAACGCCCAGAATCTGCCCTGGGATTTCTCCCCCCTTAAAAGGAAAGTGGGGCACTTGCTGCAGCTTAAGAAGCAGCCATGGCATGTAAAGGGAATGAGGTACGGTCATGTGTTCCCAGGCTTGTGCAGACCCAGAACTTCCTGTTACCTAGACGAGTCATAGTGTCATAGTTTCTCTTCATATACACATAGGTGATTTTCTCTGAATATCCCAGCTTTGCCCACTCTTCCTTAGAGATGTATTTGGCAATATCCTTGAAGGCCTAGAAAACAAAGAAAAATAAATCCAGGCAGCTAGCTACTCAGCTAAACACGTCTGACATTCACAGACCTTGTCGTCTGCAGGGATGCTAGGCAAGGACAGAGTGAGGGTGGGAAGCTCCAGATCTCCCCCTGACACACTGCTCCTTGTCCCTAGTGCCTCTGACCTCACCTCCTCAGAAATCTAGTCACCCTACCCTGTCCCCTGGGCCTCTCCTCTGCTCCCCTCCAGATCACCTCACCTTGCATTTCTTCTCTGATTTCTGGGTATCCTTCCTAAGAATCTTTGCCAAGAAGCTGTCTCCGTTCATGGCACTGGGAATGGTCTGATCTCAAAGAGACACAGCCTGAGTCACTCCAGCCACAAGGCCAAAGGTCCTGTAAAGAGAGAAAGCACTGAGGGAAGGCCACACTCAGTTACCTGGAATCAAGGTTTTACTTTTCTCCATCCTGGGCTTATCTGTCCTTGAGTAAGGACAGGGAGGGAAGTCAGGTGAGAACAGGGGGCTGGAGGTCTCTGGGAAAAGTATTGATTAGGGATGACAGGTTTTCTGTGAGCATGATCAAAGCAGCTTGGAGCGTTTGAGGGGGGTTGGTTACTGTTGTTAGTAGTTTGTCTGGAGTTTGGCTTATCCTGAAGGAAAGATATAAAGACCCTCGTTAGGGAAGCAGTGACGTGAGTGTATAGTTTTATTGAGTGGGGGGTGTTTTGAGGCAAAGTGGGGAGGTAAATCCCAGAGATCATATGGTGTCTCTGACCGATAGGTTTGAGTTTTCAGGCAGAGGGATTTGGGGTTTTGCTCTGTTGAAAAGAAATGAAGATCGTTAATATGAGTGGATTTAGAGGCTATTACTAGGTCATTTGAAAATTATTAGAGTGAAGAGAGCTGGAATCTCGAGACTACAGGACCAGCCATCACTCAGGCTGAGAATGTGGGGAGTTTCAATGCAGCAATCTCATGCTCCCCAACCTGAGGGCATTGGGAATCTCTTAGGGAGAGGAAATTCAGAGGTCTCTGAGGCCAAGAAGATTGCTGCTTTATCCCAGAGGAAGCAATAAAGGAGTCCCTTAGGCAGAGGCTATTATCTCTGCTTAAAGAAACCTAGGGGCGTCTGGCTGATTTGCGGGTTTCTCAGGCTGAGGGGAGTTTTGTTTCTCTCAGGAAGAGCAGTTAGGGAGTCTCGGAGACTGAAGGCAGTTTTGGTTTTATCTCTGCCTGATGAGGATCCCTCCAAACGGCTTTCAGTTGTCTCCCCCTCTCTCTTTTTTTTTGGTGAGGAAGATTGGCCCTGAGCTAACACGTATTGCCAATCTTCCTCTTTTTGCTTGAGGAAGAGTGGTTCTGAGCTAACATCTGTGCCCATATTCCTCTATTTTGTATGTGGGACGCTGCCACAGCATGGCTTAATGAGTGGTGTAGGTCCACGCTCAGGATCCAAACTGGTAATCCCGGGCCACTGCAGCGGAGCAGGCGGACTCAACCATTACGCAATTGGGCCTACCCGGTCTTTTAGCCCTAAGTATCTTGAGGATCTTGGGAGGCACAGCAAAGACCCAACCACTTGAGCGATATGCAGAGCCTGCCAGCTTTTCTACCTGACCCCCCTTAACCTGTCCAGGGTGACTCGCAGCGAGAACCTACCTCAGAGGTGAAGCGGTGGCGACTAGTCGCTCCACGACGAGGCGAAATCCTGCAATTCAAATGCCCAACGACAATCGACCAGTCAGAACACTTAGGAAACTTGATCGGCCAATCGGACGTCAGGAAAGTAGGCGGAGCAAGTGAGGCAGGAGAGGGGTCTATTAGTCCAGGTTCCAGGGACAGTAACGTCTTCTCAAAGTGGGTGGAGACTCTAATTTTCCCACTGAAAGCAGGGTCGCTCTCTGCCAGAATTGGCCGCTCCAGGTTCCGTAGGCACGCATGCTCAGATGTTCCCTTTCAATTCAGCCTACATCTTCCTACCCTCTGTTGTGCATTTGTTGTTTAGTTTTTAATAAGTGGTGTACAGGAGACAGGCTGCTATCTCAGATCCTTCCCATCAGTCTCCAGCTTCCTCAAATAGGAGGTCTTTCCTAGGATCTCCCAGTAACTTAAGAATTTTAAACTTTTTTTAAACAGTTTTCGAAATGTGCTTTTTCTAGAAGACCTAATAACCAGAAATATGTTTTACTCCCTTAATACTAATATTTGCAGCAATAGTATTAAAAAGAGTATCCATGTAATTAGGGCTTGGTGTGTTCCTCAGGGGGCTCAGAAGTCACTTTCTCTAGAAAGTGTCTCCTGCCCCACCCTAGTGCCTCCGGTGGGTCCCTAATACCCCCGGGGCTTCCCATCCGCAGCCCTGATTTCTCTAAGTTGCTCCTCCTAGAATGACAGAGAGCTCTCTTAGGGTAGGGACAGGGCAATGACTTCTGTATCCAGCGCAAACCCCTCTATGTGCATCGTCCCATTTAATTTTCACAAACTCCCATTGAGTTAAGTACTGTTATCATCCCCATTGTGCAGATGTTGAGACTGAGGTTCAGAGAGTTAAACAACCTGATCAAGATCACACAATCAGCAGGTAGCAGAGCTGGAATTCACTCCCAAGTTGGTTTGAGTCCAAAGTCTGTGCTTTTAATCATCTTCTATATTGCCTCAAATATTTGTTTGTTGGTTGAATGAATGAATGAATGCATCTTAAAACTACAAAGGAGGGCCGGCCCCGTGGCACAAGCGGTTAAGCACGCGTGCTCCGCTGTGGCGGCTGGGGTTCGCGGGATCCGGCACTGCTTGTCAAGCCATGCTGTGGCGGCGTCCCATATAAAGTGGAGGAAGATGGGCACGGATGTTAGCCCAGGGCCAGTCTTCCTCAGCAAAGAAAAGAGGAGGATTGGCAGATGTTAGCACAGGGCTGATCTCCTCACACACACACACACAAAAACTACAAAGGACCTTTAACATAATCTACATAATCTCCTACAATCACCCATAATTTCCTGCTGTAACAAATTACCAAAAAGTTTGTGGCATAAAACAACAGAAGTTTATTCTCTTACAGCTCTGGAGGCCAGAAGTCCGAAATCAGTATCACTGTCCAAAATCAAGGTGTCAGAAGGGCTGTGCCCCCTCCACAGGCTCTAGGGAGAATCCATTCTTTGCCTCTTCCAGCTTCTGGGGTCTATCATCATTCCTTGGCTTCTGGTGGCATTACTCCAATCTTGAAGACCAGCATCTTTAGATCTCTCTCTGTTCCATCTTTACATCACCTTCCCCTTGCGTGTCTCTTCAAATCTCCCTCTGCCTCTTTCTTTTTCTTTTCCTTTTTTTTGAATGTGCAGTCTTTATTTTCTCTAAAAATTGAGGTAAAGAGAATTCTTTAGAAAAAGAAACCATCTGCTGATGATTGAAAATGGGAAGATCCTAACTTACACAATGTTATATGTCAATTATATCTCAATAAAGCTGGAAAAAAATTTTAATCTTAAAAAAACAACTGGAAAAAGAAAACGGGAAGGTTTAGCTTCATGCAGTGGCTCCAGGATGCTCAGAGGAAGGAACCGAAGTTGGCCAAGGTTGGCCAAGATTTTCCTGAGTTGGTCCAGACTCCAGAGTTGTGACTAGTATTTCAAAGAGGAAAGAGATCAGTCAAAAGTTTCAGTCTCATAGTCCCTAGAAATATGTCACATTGATGCTCCTGTCATCTCCTGTCACCAACATTCTGGCTGGCATTTCTGGTATTGGTGAGGAAATTGCCCCAATTTCTCAGGCTCTTCTGCCTTCCCCATGCCCATCCTGGGATCTGCCCAGTCCTCTTGCCCCAAGAGGATAGCTGACTCTTGCAAGTCCTGGAGAAGAATGCTTTGTAGGTGTGAACATCTCATGCCATGAGCCAGCTTTGCAAGAGGATTGGGTGTGCAAAGGTTTCCAGAAGGGTCAGGAGAATCAGAGCAGGGCAGGATTTGCAACAGTAGCCAGCCAGGAAAATCCTTCAGGGTGGGCCTTCTCCTTGGTCCCCTTTCATTATGGCATGGACCAGACCTGATAAAGCTGTGGCCCTCCCTACCACCTCTACTCTCACTGGATTCCTAGAAGCTCATAGCTGGCGTTCCACAGGTACTCAGCCATTTTGTTATTTCAGGCCCTTGGAGAGACCCAGGTCCTCTTGCAGTCACTGAAGTACTTGCCACGCAGCGACTTCAGGCCCTCAGCCAGGGCGCAGTGCAGACTAGTCTTCGCCCCGTCCTGGGCTGACTTGACAAAGGGGAAGAAGAGCCGCCAGAGCAGGCACAGCTGGAAGGAGTGCCAGACCAGCTCAGAGCGGACAATGCCTGGGTGCACTGTGTAGATGGTGACCCCTGGGCCTTGGAGCCTCTTGGCCAGCTCCTGAGTAAAAAGCACATTGGCCAGCTGGCCGTGGCAATAAGCAAAACCCCGACTGCAGCGGTTCTCACCCCAGAGGTCATAGAAGCAAGTCTTGCCAGCATGGTGGGCCACCGATGACAGGCCCACCTCCGGTGCAGGAGCAGACTCCTTCAGCCACCCCAGGAGCAAGTGGGTGAGAAGGAACTGGCCCGGGGGGTTGACTCCCAGGTGGGTTTCAAAGCCATTGGCTGTCTTGGAATATGGACGCATCATCACTCCTGCGTTGTTGATCAGAATATGGAGCTATTTTTCCCGCTGCCAGAAAGCCCTCAGCAAAGGCTTGGGTGGATTTGGTGTCAGATAGGTCCAGTTTCAGCACCAGCACCTGGGAGTTCTTTGTATCAGCTTAGATTTAACTGGCAGCAGACTCCCCCTTCAGTACATCTCAGCAGGCAATGCATACTCCGGCTCCGCAAGCCAGCTCTCTGGCTGTCTCCTTGCCTATGGCCATGTTGGCTCTGGTGATCACCACTCCCTTCCTGGGAAGCTGCACGTTTGTTTTCCAAACCCCACCAGGACACAACTTCCTGATGGATGGAGCTATCACATACAGGAAAGAAAGGAAGGAGGGAAGCAGTCCCAAGATAACCAGCATCTTTTCGACTTCTTTAGTTGTTGTTGCTTTAGCAAAAGCAGCTTCAACTCCAACTCTGGCCCAGGCTCCTGGTCTGGCTCCAACTCCTGGCTGCTTTTCTCTGCTTCTTCCTCCCCCTCCTTTGCTTCTCTCGCTCCTGGGCTCTCAGCAACAGCTTGGCCTGCCTCTTTCTTATAAGGATACATGTGGTTGCCTTTAGGGCCCACCCAGATAATCCAGGATAATCTCCCCCTCTCAACAGCCTTAACTTAATCATATTTGCAAAGAATCATTTTCCAAATAAGGTAACATTTACAGGTTCCAGGGATTA